CCCCAAAACCCCAAAACCCCAAAACCCCAAAACCCCTAATGCAGGAAATATTATAGAATTACTATATTATTTAGCTAAATGAAAATAAATACGTCTCTGGTAGTACTACTACTAATAGGCTTGACCTCTACGGTCTTCGCCATCAGAGTTGGTGTCATTAATGACCTTCACTTAGACCCGTTCTACGATCCATCTGTTGAATCTGATAGGGATTGTAGGGGTCTCAACCCGTTCAAGCTGAAGGGACTGGACTCTACCAACGACCTAGCCCCATTTGGAAGGTACGGATGTGATGTATCACCAACTTTGATTAATATCTTATTTGCTAAGCTTAAAGAACTCTCAGGACATATTGATGTCCTACTCGTCAGTGGAGACTTCACCGGTCACGATATTGCTGCTAAAAGAGGAAAGGCTGATGAGAATTATATCATGTTAAAATCAGTGATTTCTTCATGCTTTGCCCAATACATTGATCCATCATTCTCGAAGACTATAATCATTCCAACTATTGGAAACAACGATGCTAAGTTCCATTACGAGTTCCCCCAGACTGGAGAAGAAGCTGATGAATACTACGGATTCCTCTATGATCTCTGGTGGAACGAGATCGGAGCCAACCCAGAGTACTCTAAGAAAGATGAAGTTAAGGAAACTTTTATGAAAGGAGGATTTTATAGATACGACCACTCTGACAAAATTTCCTTCCTCGCTCTTAACTCATTGTATTGGTCGGAAAAGAATGAGAAATTTAGTTCAGGTATCAGTCACTCTCAGCTTGATTGGCTTGAAGAACAACTTAGAGATGCTGAAGATTCTAGACAATTTATCATCAACATGCACATATTCCCAGGCATGTACAACCCTGGAGCCAGACAAAGATTCTGGCTAGATGAATTCACTAATAGGTTTGATGATATTATGCTTCAATATGGACACAAAGTTATTCTTTTTAACGGAGCCCATGTACATATCGCGGATGTAAGAGCAAGCTGGGTTGAAGACTATGGATCCGTCCAAGACCTCCTAAAGGACGAAAGAAGCACAAAGAGAGCCTACTTTGCTAACTTCGTCTCTCCTGCTATTTCCCCTGTTTACCTTAATAACCCTGGATTTTCTATGTTTGACATTGACGAAGATAAGATGAAAGTCCATAATATCACTGCCCATTTCCTCGAACTTGACAGAACATTCCAGTCAAAGGGTCATGAAGTAGTCTTCCATTCAATAGATTTTGCTGAAGAGTTTGGAATTGATGAATGGTCTCCGCAAACAATCCTTGATTTCATGGATCGTGCTCAAAATGACGATGAGCTTTTCAAAAGATTCCTAATTTTGAAACTCGGCTTCAGACTAGATCAGGAGGAAGAGGCCTTGACTGTATATGAAAACCTTAACATGATTGATTTTTCCAACAACAACAGAATCTATTGGTGTTTCTTCCAATACATGAGGGCTGAAGATTATGATGCCTGTGTTAAAGGCTAACTCACCAAGCCAGATATTACTAATTTGGTATAAAATTGTTCAACCAAGTTCAATAAAGACGGGACAGTAAGGGGTTTTGGGGTTTTGGGGTTTTGGGGTTTTGGGG